CTGCAAGTGTAGATAAGGTGTAGAATGCTCATCAGGGCTCCCAACCTCCTTGTGGCCACTGGCTGAGCATTGCGAGGCACATCCCTGCACATCATGAGTCTCAGTAGGCTCTTTGGGGCCTCGTGCACCTACCCCCATGCCCAGAAGGCTCATTATCCCTACCCCCAGCCCTGAGATTTAGGAGGGTCCTCCAACAGCCTCCTTAGGCTCCTGAGCCCCCAAATGATCAGAATAGTCTTAGCCTCTGAGGTACTAAAATAGACTTCTCAGGCCCCACTCTGATCATCCAAAATAGACTTGGGTGGGGCAAACAAGCCCTGGAATGCTTGTGGGGATGGGATGCTCCTCAATGAGCTACCTAAGGCACAGAAGCAATATTGGGCCCCCAGTAAACCTAAAGTTTGTGTGTGTGTGGGAGGTCAGGGTGGCCCCTGATGAGCCTCCTAAAGTGTGTGTTTGTGTGGGTTCCTCAATGATCCTAAGGCTTGTAGGGCTTTATTGGTTGCCTCTGATGCACCTCCAAAGGTTCTGGGGGTTCCCAGTGAAACTCGTAAGGTTATAGGAGGGTATGGAGGTGGCCACAAAGGAGTCTAGTGCTCATGGAGTCTGTGTGTGACAGTAGGAGGGTGCAGCAGCAAAAAGCATCCTCAGGCTAGGGCATGAAGTGGGGGCAAGTGCATCTTCTATGGTTTGCTAGGCATTCCTCCCTCCTGCTTGCTTTAGGAAAGGGGGACTGGGTGAGATCTGGAGGCATTGTCCTCTTCCTGGATCTCCTGAAGGTCCCAGCCTCCTGCAAAACTTAGGGGGCTCAGCAGGTTTGTCACACCCTCCCATCCCCACAAACCTTCTGGTGGAAAATATCTCCTTTTCCCATGGACAGGCCTTGTTGGCAATTGGTTCCATTTTGACATCTATCTATGAAACGAAAAGGGCTTGGAGACTTACTGTTTTGGTTTTTTTTTAATGAAGGCTTGATCTCCAGCAGCTATATCATGCCCTGTACTAAGTTTGCCAGGCCCAATTACCCTCAGAGACATTCCAAATTCAAAGTTAATAACATGGAAAATTGCACTTTTATTAGCTCATCTGTGGACCTGGGCACCACCACTTTGCTAGGAGAGTCCAGTAAACTAGATTTTATCTCTTTCCTTTCTCTTCCTCACTTCCACCCCTCCTTAAACTGTGGCAATAATAAAAACATCTTTGGTTCTGATGAGTACCTACATTTTTAGTGTGTCATAATGCAGGAACCCCATATCTGATTGTCTTCAAGTTTTTCAGAAAAAATTGTACTTTAGCCCTAGGCCTAACCTACTAGTTTTGAGAATATGATATGACATTTTTTATGGATTTTAAAAGGGAGGGAATAACACTAGGTTTATAATAGTTCTTATGTAGTGTTTTTCATCTGATCTCAAAGTGTTTTATAAAGGTAGGAAGCATCATTATCCCCGTTTTATGAGTAATGCACTCAGTTGAAACCTAAACTGTGGAGTGGCTACTGCCACCCAGAAAGCCAGATTCGATGTCAAGATAACATGGTTCAAACTGGTTTTAAAACGGTTGTTCATAGTGTTTCCTTTCCTTTGCCTGCTTGATAATGATGAGAACGTCAAAGCTCTGAAGGTTAATCGCATTATTAAGGAAAAATGACAGTAACACGGTATGAGGTAAAACTTGTTTCCTCATTTGTTTTTAAACAAGCCCCTCAAACAACTATTTAGGACCAACGTGCTCTCTCTCCACTGGGGCAAGCTGTGTGCAAATGAAGAAGGGAGAATTCAGATCAGGGTGAGTGAGGTTTCCCCCCTCTAGTTTTTGAAACGTACACATGGTAATAAAAAAAAAATCCATCATCACTCGAAGGGGAGAGACTTTAAAGGCTGCCTTCAAAACTAATCCGGAGATGGGGGAGAGGGAGAGACATGGGGTCAGGTCTGGCTCTGACGGCCTGGAGATTTACAGCTTGAAACCCCTCTGGGAGCGGGGGACGGGCAGGAAAGAAAGAGCCTGCGCTCGCGCCTCGCCTTCCCCACAAAAGCAGCCCGCGGGGGCCCTGGCATCACCCACCGCCCCAGGGCTAAGGTGCCCCTGGCAGGAGAGGAGTCTGCGCAGGTTCCTCGGCTGGCCGCTGACTGCAGCAGGCACGCGAGCCACTAGCCCTGACCGCAGCCGCCAGGGCAACTTGCAAGCCTGGCTCCAGGTGCATTGTCCACCCCCAGAGAGCCCCAGTGTCCCGCCCCCGTCTTCCCGCAGGGTCCCTCTTTCCCCTCCTCCCCGCGGCCCTGCCCCTCGCCCAGCTCCCAGGCCAATGGAGACTAGATGCAGAAAGTAGAGCCGGGACAGCCGCGCACTCAGGGAGGCTCTGTCCATCCCCTTTCTCCTCCCCTTGTCCATTGATCAGGGGCGCGCTCTCTCCCCTTGCACTGTGTCCGTGCGCCGGGGCTCGGCCACAGGGAAAGAGTCCGCGGGAGTGGGAATCCGCGGCGGAGGGGCGGCTCCGGCTCAGAGCGGGGAGAGGCGAGGACGCTGGGGGCGCGCGGCGGGAGCATGCCAGGCAGAGCCCACTAAATGGCGCCGGTTCCCCATCGGATGCTGCTCTGGGCGCTGATCGTCCCCATCCCAGGTGAGTCCAGGCGGGGGCGGGCTGCTTCGGCCGCAAACTTTGCAGCGCTTGCCCGGCCCCCGGCTCGTGCATCTCCGCGGCGGGCGGGGAGCCAGCGCCGCCCTCGGGGACCTGCCCGCCCGGCGCGGAGCCTGGGCAGCCCCCGGGCGTCGGTGCGGACAGCTGGGGGGCACCGGTCCCCGCTTCTCTTTCCCCGGCCGGCCGCTGCCCTTAATGGCCGCGCTGCTGCTGTCCAGCCTCCCCCGCTCCCGTCCATTGTCCCCGGTGGCCGCCGGCCGGGAGCCCGCCTGCACGCCCGGGGTTCCTCTTCGGCCACGAGCCCGAGGGCGACGGGGCGGCTGCTGCACGGACCTTCCGCAGCCCGGGCATCCCGCGTGGGCAGCGCTCCCAGGGAGCTGGCGGGGGGTGGTGGCTGCTCTCCCCGGCCCCCATCCATTGTCCCCTCTCCGGCCCTGTGCTGGGCGAGGGGGAGCGACGGGGAGGGGGAGTGGGGGCTGCTACTGTCCAGTGCTCCCGGGGCAAGGGCGGGTATCCCGTGTGGGGGAGGAGGCTTTCTCCGGCCCGGCTCTCTGTGCAGCCAGGAGAACGGGGGCTGGGGCTGCGGCCGCACGTGGTTTTATTTATATTGTTCCAGCGGGGGCAGTGCCGGAGCCCGGCTCTGCCCCGCTTCCAGCCAGCCGCCGGGAAAGTTACAGAGCCGCGGGGGGGGCGAGCCTGGGTAGCTGCCGTTTGCTCCCGTGCAGCCAGTTACCTGCAGCGTGAAGAGGGGCCCAGGCCCGAGAGGGGCAGCGGGTGGGGGATGATTTTCAGCAGGCAAACGGAGTGGTGGGAGATGCTTTTGGGGAAGGCTGGGAGTGAATTGGGGAAGATACTATGCCAGGGGAAGCCGCCGCCAATTGAATCCTTGCACTGGCTGGCATTTTCATTCACCGCGTCTGGGTTAGAGACCGTCCTGCACCTTCTTTTTTAATTGCCAGTGTCTGGCTTTCACTTTCCCGGCTCAGATCTTTGTTAGCATGAGAAAGGGATCAAAGGCGGACCCGTGATTAGAGTCACAACAGGAGAGGAGGGTGCAGGCGTAATCTGCATAGCCCGGGAGCTGCTATGAAAGGGAGCAGGCAGGAGCTCTCAGATGTGTGCGGATCCTGGGCAAATTGCATGATTGGAGGGTTCCTGGACGTTTATTGATCAGGACCCGAGAAATCTATTGCCAAGGAGTTTCTGTCCTAATCAAGAGCTGCCCATACAGTGACCCCCCCCCCATCTCTCTGCAGAGAGAACATATTTTTTTATAAAGCCCCCCGCCTTTATCAGTGGAGGGGAAGCGGGATGGGTGTACGGGGACTCTTCGCTACTCATCAACTTTATCTCGATTTAGGCGTGTGTTGGGGGCGGGAGTAAGGCTGGGAAAACCTGGTTTCCTCTGCGAAGCGGTTCTTCTAACGAAATGTGTATTGGTTAATTAAACCTCCCCCACCCCCATTAGACAGTAAGCGATCAATTAGTCACGCGTTTCTGGAACAGTTGGCCATACACACAAGTTGAAATAAAGGTTTGCTAATTCCTGCCTTTCCTCCCCCGCTGGGTACCAGTGGCAAGAATTACCAACTCTGGAAAATTGCATTGTTTGTATTCTAAATACCTCTGCTGAACTGCAGAAATGAAGCAAATTGGTCAGGTTTTCTGGCAGAGTTGACATTTTGCCGCCTCCAAAACACAAGACTCCAACCCCCCGAATTTGTCACAAAAGATAAAAGTTTCTCCCATGGAAATAGGTGCAGAGGGGCCAGACACTTCTGAGGACATAGGAAAGAACCCTCTAGCTCCCAAAGACAGGGTTTTGCTAATGATTTCTTGTAAAATTAGAGTTTTATGACTTACCCTGTTCAAGATCTTTTTGACAAGCTTGTAAAATTAGCAAACAGCTTGTGCTCCCTGATTCCCCTGAAGATGATACTAATACTTTACCAGCAAAAGCTCCACATCTGTATGAGGATTATTTTATTACTCTGTTTGCAAAAGCATCAGATGATGTCTTTTTGCCTAGATTGGTGGGAATCAGGGAAAGGAGAGAGATGGAGAAAAGTTTGTTTGAATATTCAGATTCCAATTTTTTGTGCTGAATCTTGGTTATGATAACATAAATATTTAAAACTCTAATCCTGCTTTCTCATACATTTGAACAAGGAAGCAAATATTTGTGTAGTTATTTGGGGCCTGATCCTTTTGCTTCCCCAGAACACAGAGATTTTACTTCAGTGGGAGTAGAACCTGGTACTCGCAGGGCACAGATATAATTATCACACCAGTACAATTGTGATATGCTTTGCAAGACTGCTTTATGATGCTTGCATCCCTGTACTTACAGACAAAAATGGTTTTATTTCTCTCAGGAGTATGGTGCTTTAGTGAGCTGTTTTTTGTAAAAGAGCCACAGGATATAACCGTCACAAGGAAGGACCCAGTGGTTTTAGATTGCCAGGCACATGGCGAAGTTCCCATTACAATCACATGGCTGAAAAATGGAGCAAAAGTTTCTGAAAATGAACGGATCTACACGTTATCCAATGGCTCTTTATACATCAGTGAGGTGGAAGGAAAAAGAGGAGAACCATCTGATGAAGGATTTTACCAGTGTTTAGCACTGAACAAATATGGGGCCATTCTCAGTCAAAAAGGTCACCTTACACTAGCAAGTAAGTTCTAGCACTTGAATCTCTTGTTTATCACAGTTACATGTAGTTACCAATTTATTAACCTGTTTCCATATTTGTGGCTTCACTACCTTTAAGACAGCACAACCCTGTATTGTTCTATATACAAGATAGGTTAAACAAATATTACCAAAAATAAAACAAGTGGATTTAATTTCTGTTAAAATCTTTGTTATTTATAATGTGTGTGAGATTATGGGCCAGATCCTTCCCTGTAACTCCACAGAAGCCATTGGAATGACATCAGGAGTTAATTTGACCCACTATTTGTGGCATTCCCTTTGGTAAAATACACTGGTAATATAAAGTTATCACGTTCTGTTTCAAACCGTTTTTAAGAATTGTTTTACAAACACTACAGTTGTAATGTTAGAATTGTTGCCTACAAGTAAGTGAAATGATAAATTTGTAAGACAGGCTTTCAATTGTTGACCAGTTCTTAAGATATCGCAAGCCAGAGGAGAACCTTAATGTGTGTAAGGTGGTTTTCTAGGGTCTGAGGAGCCCTGAGGGTTGAACTCTTGAGGTGAGGCCACACTCAGACACACTCTTATAGCCAGGGAGAACTGGACTGGGTTCCTTCTGGAATTGGTTGATGCTACTATTTAACTGAACCAGAGGTCACTGTTGAGTACTGCTAGTAACTACTACTAGGGTCTGAGGGTCAGATTATTGAATGTATTTAAACTAGGCATCCATCTGCCTCTTTAGATTCCTAAATATCCTTAAAATTCTGCCCCTGAGTGTGCTGTCTTTGCAGACTAGGAACTGAACTCGGGTCTTCTGCATGACAATAAAGAGGTCTGCCACTAAGTTATCTGATTCCTTCCACATAATGTGTGTGTGTGTGATTTATATACTGTAATCATATAAGTTATATGTACTTTCTGCTATGCTGTGTCTTTGGGAACAAAAGAAACAGCATGCCAGAAAGTACATATAAACTTGTATGATTATAGTCAAGCCTCTGGTTTTCTCTGTGAAGATAGTCTTAATTTCTCCAGCAGGGTCTTCCTCTACTCATTTCCACCATGACTTCTGTGGCAGCTTAAAATAAATTCAGAACTGTGCGGTGCTACCTAATTTGAAGCTAATTAATACAATCAGTGCAGTACTCCTAGATTAATGTTATTAATTTTAATACTTTTTTTCAGAATATTAAGCTTTCAGTTTATTTATACACCCACAATTTCACTGTGCTCTAGGATTTGATATCATTGGTTTTTAGAAGGTGTCAGGAGGAGAAGTGAAGGTTTGTGTTAGTTTAATCAGGCCTTTAGGTATTGAAGTGATGATTTTTTGGGTGTGGGGGGTATTTGACACTGGGGAAGGCATCATCTTGAGAGGGACTGAACTCTAGTTCTCTACTCTTGAAAGCAACATCTGTTGTTAGAATCATAGAATATCAGGGTTGGAAGGGACCTCAGGAGGTCATCTAGTCCAACTCCCTGCTCAAAGCAGGACCAATCCCCCATTTTTGCCCCAGATTCCTAAATGGCCCCCTCAAGGATTGAACTCACAACCCTGGGTTTAGCAGGCCAATGTTCAAACCACTGAGCTATCCCTCCACCCCCACTTCTAACTTCCATTTAAATAAAAAACTGATGGATAAGATATTAGGTGGATATTTCTGATAGAATGGTCAGAAGTGAAATAGTGACCGAGTTGAAACTTAAATTTGATTTTAGCATTTTTATGCATCATTGAGATGAATTGAGACAGTTTGTCTCTCTTAGAGTCATTGTTTCAGGCAGTGTATTGGCAGACTCAGGAAGACAGTGTTGCATTGGCTCACATCTGGAAGTTTTTGTTTTCTTAACAACCAGAGGGAGCAAGACTTAACTTTAAAAAAGCTTAGATTCATCAGGAGGTGATGGATCCTGTGTCTAGACCTGTAGACTTTCAGAAAATCCAGGGCATTGTTTAATACAGGGCACTTCCAGAAGAGTGGTGTGGCATCATGCACCCTGAAAGATATTAGTATAAGACTCCTGGAGTTTCTTGTTGGAGTCTGTATTAAGAGAGTATTTAACTTTTGTAAGAAATAGTGGTATTAAATCCAGATGAAACATTACTTCTTCAAAAGGTAATTTTGTTTGTGATAAATCTTTATTCAAGACTTTAACAAGTGAAAAGTTGTGACTAACTGATTTGAGTTGTGGAATGGCATTCTTGTTTTACTGGTTGTGCTTTCCTCTTTTCTTTTTACTAAAAAAAATTAAGATTCTTCCCTTGGAAAAAACATGTTTTGTCTAGTTTGTTTAAAGCTGTCCTATTCATTGACAAAACTGGAAGAGATACTGGATTTCTAGATGAATGTATTTTAAAAAGGCAAGTAGGTACAGTGATTGTAATAGGTGTTAGCTGCATATAGATGATTATTTTAAATAATAGCTAAACATGATGTAATCTTGTGTTGAAATGTGTTCCTTGTCATAGTGCAGTCTTAATACTTGAAATGTCAGTCTGTTATTAGCCCATGAAATAAGGTGATAACTGATATTGTTATATTTTGAAACCCATATAATATGGATGCAAAACTGTTTTAAAGCCCCCTTTTCATAAGGATTCTATCTACTAACATGATCTGAATGAACTGCCAGCATTCTGAACTTATGAAAATAAAGTTTTGTGGGGTGTGTAGTTTTTCAAATCGTATTTCAGAGCAGTTGTCAGTTGCTGTAAAAGCAAATGACTTTATCTTGTGATCAAGGTAAAGAAGGAACTATACATATTAAACAGGTGGAGAATACGCATTAAATGGGCATTCTTTCTTTGGAGGAAAAAAAAGAAAATGCTGTCTTAGCTACTGGTAGCAGCAGGGTGCAAGGATGTTCTTTTACTTTGCATTGTCATAGCTTTCACCAGCAAGCTTATCTTTTGCTTCAGAAGTGTAATACTTCGTGTTGCATTTGGAAACCTAAAACTTTAATCTGTCCAAGAGTTTAAGATCTGAACACACAAGGAGATCAGGTCTTGGTTTCTAAAGTTAGGAACTGGAAGCTGAAGGTTGCACTCTAGGCAAGAATTCCATTATTCATGTGCAAATTAAGAATTCACAGGGTTAAAAGGTTAGAAACTGGCCAGGATGAGGTTTACCCTTGTGATAAAGAGCAGATGACCCTCATTCATTGGCCAAAGCTTTCATGTAGCTCCTCTGCAAAGTTAGTGATTGCCATGAATTGTTCTTGAGGAATGCAGAAATTCAAATGTGAGCAGGCCTTTCCTTAAGTGTCACTATGGAGCCTTATCTCATGAGCACATCAGAGCAGGTCTGCAGGGACAAGGTTCCTCCCTAGAGGCCCCAAGGCTTTGCTTTCCTGTTGTTCATCCATGCACAAAAGAATTTGACTAATTTAGTTTTTTCCAGAAGATCCCCCTACTCTTTTTTTTTTAAAGGATACTCTTGAGTTAAGATATCAGTTAGGTAAAAATAAATATTATTTTTGGTTGATGTTTGTAGTTACTTCCAGTTTAGGGTAATTGAAGTGTGGGGGAAGGGGAGAAGGAGGTTCCTTCTGCAGCATAATTCTTTGTGAGGTGCCATGTGTGAGTAAAATGCTAATACCTGAAGATTTAAATAGTTTATTCAAAGTTCAGCCCATCCCTGCTATTTCTAGCAGGATTCCAACTGCCAAAATACCAAAGCAGTATTATATGGATAACTTCTCAAAGCTTTTTTTTGGTACCGCGACAACCAGTCAAAAGTAACACAACCTAGACTTTGTAAACTTGAAATGCTAAAATGGGAATAAAATTTCACAGTGCAGAGTTGTATGAACTGTCTGAAAATACATCTGTTGCAACAAAGTTAGACGTGAGATAACATGGCATTAGGAAAAAGTGGAGGAGGAGGATTGTGTTCTGAAGTCAGTAAAGCTGGCTGTTAAGTAGTGATTGGGCAGGATGCTAATTGTTTATTTCCTTTCCACAAAAGGTGGAAATTGAAGTCTTAAGATGGATGGAGGGGGCACATACAGCTGCCTGGAACATTCTGAGATAACCCCTTTTTCTCAGCTTGTAGGCTTCAGCTGAATTGATCTTAAATGCCGGATTTTAAATCAAACGGAAACAAACGTAATTTTTCCACAGTTAACATGTTTGTTTCTATGTTACATGAGAATGAAAGGTTACACAAGCAGTAGGTTGACTGAATATTAAACATGTCTTAACATTATGATTTAATTCCTGTGAGGACAACAGTAATCTCATGTTGACTTGCAGCTCATGAGCTGCAGATCCTTTTGAACTTATCAGGCTAAACTTTGCATCAGTGACATAAATTTAAAATTTTGATTGACCACTACAAACAGTGAGGTGCCTGTAACCTCTTATTTACTTCTAGTCACATTACAGTGGGATTAGGTAATGCTGTTTGCCAGTGTTTTTAATGCAACCTTTTGCTTTCAGTTTTTAAATATTTTGACTACTTAAAAGAGCAGTGAGCTGAATGTTGATGAATGTGTATCCACACTGAAAACATTTCCCCTGTTATAAAAACAAAATTTATACGTGGATTTAGAAAATACTTTTATAAAGGCATTTACAGCAATCCAATCCAATGTTATTTCATTTTGTATATCACTTTACTTTCAAACTACCTTCAAAACGTTATTAATATCATACATATACTAGTAACAAGTGATGAGGTACAAGTATAGAAGAAAAGAGATGGTTTTCAACTGAGGTTGTTATAACTGCAGACGGCAGGAGCTCTAGAAGAGAACACTCCTGTAATAAGAGTAGTATGAAGGTACTAATCCTGAAACATTTAGGATTACAGACTGGCTGAATGCTTTTTTCTTTTTAATTCCACGGTTGCAGACATATTGGTTAGTAGGTTTTCTCGGCATGCATCTCTAGGAGAATACACCTTGCTAGAAACAAAAGTGGGTGGTCAGCCCTTGAGATGGTCTGATTTTGATATTTGTGGAGGGAGAAGGAACTAGAGTTGTCCCAGTGTTTTGCCTCCTGCAAGTGAA